ATATCAACAGCTTCACCAGTTTAACAAATGCGACTCGGGACACTAAGAATTGTGATATCTTGAGGTCTTGAGATTGAAAATCGTTCTTGTGAATAACGACGTAATGAAGGAACCACGTCAGCTCGTCCATGTTTATAAATGATTGAGCTTCTAACACTTTTTGAAATTTGTTCGAGTTGTGAACCGTACGTGACGGTATACTCATCCACTTTTCAGATGCCCAAGCATACTGAATTGCTTTTATGTAGACCCCATCGCCGACTTTTGGCGAAAAAGCATCAATAAATTTTTGTGATGTAAGCATCTTATCCATCGCATTCTTCTCCTTGAATTTGCGAAGCGAACGAATGAAAGTGATGTAACGATCTGGACTTAGATCTTTTGCAAAAGTCCAGTAATAGTTAACGTAATCAAGCCACGCCATAAACAATTGATTCTCGAACGAAATTGAAGGATGCGAACCAACGAAAAATTCAAGCTTATCTTCTGGAAGATTAAGGTTTTGTGTCCATTCCTCAAAGACCAAACTCTTATAGGTGGAATCCAACACCATCATTCTCTGAACATCTTCTGCAAAACTTTGGAAGTCTGGATCGGCTTGAAGTTTATCAAATAGCTTCACCACTTGTCGGTGCGGATCAAGTTGATGATTTGATGTTTTAGATAGTGGCTTCTGAATCTGTGCTGACAATTTGCCCACTAAAATGTCTAACACCACTTTGTAATCGTACACTTGAGGATTGTCTTCATTTTTGTTCCTGTCAACGTCAGATCGAACGCTTCTCAACCAGGTTTTCAGCGGCTCATCGATAATCTCTAAATCAATATTGTATGCAGGTATGTCATTATAAAGCTTGTTTCTGAGGACATCATGGGAGTCTTGTGGACGGTCCTCGAGCAGCGCTAGTTTGGGAGATGAATCCATTTCCAATCGAGCCTTTTTTGTGGGTAAAAGCCCGTCAATCGCATGGTCCAACTCACCCGTTGCATGATCTGGTAAATGTGATCTACTTCTTGATAAACTTAGCAGCACATCAGCAATAGCGCTCTCTTCCATCCTTTCTTCATTCGCTTTGTCGTTAACATGGGCCTCGTATTCCACAAGTGCGACATTATATCTATGCGCATTACTCGAGATCGCGTAAGCTTTGTGTGGCGATGTGCCACGAGGAACACGTTCCTTTGTGTCTGATTCATTGCATGGGTTTGGTTCTATTTTGATCGCAAAGCAAAAACTAGATCCCGTCACAAAGATGGCGACGATAATGAACACGCGCATGTTGCTAAAGAAGGAAAATACGTGCTATGTTTTTATTTCCATGTACACACGATACAAAAGCTGATTGGATGGCATCAGTCAAGTACGACACATCATAAATAGTGTTACACTAATTAGTTTCGTTTAAGGCGAGTGTCATTTCAAAAATTAAAAAATGTTGCAGCAACTTTTGGATTTTCTACTCAATTAACATCGATATGAAATAGTCTCTGTCTTGACGAGTTGAAGATTGGGTGTATTTAGGTTACAGAGGATGACCATTTGCTTTTTCATAAAACTCAATCGATTAAGCGGCTTGTAATGGACACCTCAACAACCAGCGTAGTTCATTCACTGACGACATTTACCACAAGACTGTATCGCTTCTTCCAGCCCAAATGGTCAAACGCTCTTCACTGAGGCAATCGATTGCAGTACGAATTACAATTAGATTAACTTTCCATTGGCTGAGCAATTTATTATGCAAGCAGATTCTGCTTTCTGCGGCCTTGCAACGCTTGCCATGTGTCTAAATGCACGCAAATCGACCCTGGTAGACTGTGGAAAGGACTGTGGAGATGGTTTCGTAAAGAGCATTCGACTGTTGTACGTCCCTTAGTGTCACAAAGGAAAAAGGGATCAGTTTGTCGGAGTTCATATGCCTTGCATGCTGTAACGGTTTGATTTCGGAGGACTACCGATCCTCAAGTAGTTTTACGTTGGAGTAATTTCGATAGATTGTCAAGCACAGTTGTGCTACAAGTTCCGAGATTGTGGTATCAAATTACAGGTGCAAGGTACTCGGTCAGACTGGAGACGGACAGTTTTTACCCATTGCGATCGCCATATTTCAGAACGATTTACAAATGCTGTCAGAAGTTGCCGGTGATTTCGTCTTCTGTCGTTATCTTGACCAGGCGATGTCATCCTTTCAAGTTGCTATAACATCAGACACGCTAAACAAGTTTATTCATATTTCCTTCGTATTCTCGTCGGACCTCGCCTTTAAAACGGCAATGATAACAAAAGCACATTTGATTACATTCTCATGAATTTCTTCGTTACTATTGTCTATGTTTGTAAAATGCAATTTTATACGATTCTGCAAAAGCTAAATCATACTTTGTGAAATGCGAAAATTCGTTTGCAGTACATTTAATTTGTTTTCTGAGAGACATCGGACGTTGAGGTCTTGAAATGCTCCATGGTATTTCAAGTCTCCACTTTCGCTCTTCACCTAGGCTTCGAAATCTTTGCAGGGAAGCAGCACATTAGACGCATACAATCTGCCGGCGTTTTAGGATGAGAAAAAACGACTTATCTGCAAGCCATCCATGAGAGCGATCAAAGCACTACCCAGCTGAGTAGCACTACCTAAGCTGAACCCTGTTTAGCATGTAAACGGTATGATTCCGACTACTGCTTTGATCCAATCTCAATGTAGGAGCTTACTTATTACCGTCATGGCCTGCCGAAGTAGTTTGAAGAAACAAGAAGTCTGAATTATTCCTGCTCATACTTTGACAGTTAGGTTTTTGACATCATGTATCCTCCTCTTCAAAAACTTCTAAATCACTCAGCTCAAAAGACTTTTCAGGTTTGTAAAGACTTCTTGGCGAGGGTATAAGTATCGCGATGTACTTCATTTGTAAGGTAAAGTTTTTTTTCTGCAACCCACATTTTCTCTAAATATGTCAAAAGTCCACATGGTCAACATCGTTACGGTGAATTTCATTAGTTGGAAATAAATGTTTATCTCAACTTTTTTAAAGACTTAAATCTCGAACTTTGTCCTCAGTCGGCCATGAATATTGAAGAAAAATTATCTTCCCACTCGCAGGTTACCATTTTCAACCCTTATGTATTCTTGACCCACCAATTACTCCACATAAAACAGGGCTAACCCTTGCCTATCGAAAGGAGACTGTGAAGACAGATCTTATAGCTGGCTCTCGTGGGATTTTTAGATTATGGCGACTTTTCGATAGTCATATAGAGATTGCATCGAGTATCCCTAATTGCCTCTTATAGGTTCAGAGCCGTATTACCGGTCTTAAGCAGAGGGTAGCTCAGCTAAGTGAATCAACGGAGATGACACCAAACCCGTATTAACACATCCATTTTACCTCCGACTGACTCGTAAGGGCAGAATCGCTATACGTTTCCGAGCTTCGAATTATTGTAAAAACGAATGCACGTCGGGTGTCAAGTAGAGCCGAGGTACTACCACAACTGGGAAAGATCACAAGTTTCAGCTGCGGGAGGTTAATCACTGCCGATAGTCCCACTTTCACCCAGAACGTTGGCAAACTAACGGGTCTACCAAAACGGTTACTAGCATCTGCTAAAGCGAACCCTCATTTTGTAAGCTCATCAAAGTTTTTGGTTCTTCTAAATTGTCCAGGAGCCGTCGCTGCTTTTAAATAGGCAAAGTCTCGTTTTTTTTCTTTTGAAAGTGAGTTCAACACTTGGAGGTGTTAAAATTACACCGCTGGATGCATGTGGATGATTACGGATGCTGATTACGTACATAATGGTAGTCGCCCATTGGTCTAGATAGATAAGGTTACATCAAGAAGCTTCTAGAAGGATCTAGAAAGACAGGCTTAGAGGTAGCACAGAGTAGCGAACTAAGGACCTAAATATATTCACTTCGGTTTTTGCCATCTTATCAACACATCTTATCAGCAAACAACTTTATAAAGGTCGCAAAATTATATTTGCCCGATTTAACCTGCGATGATGCCTCATACCGCTTCCGCCACGCGCATGTGGATGCAATTTCTAGCTCCCTATAACATCCGTAATGCTGAAGTGTTGCTCATGAATGCGCCAAGTTGCTATCATCACACTAGCGAGGCATTTTCCCAGCGAGAATAGTATCTGAACTTGACACCGGTTCATATCAATCTTTATAAATTGTATGACAAAAGCAAGAGATTTTCTGTTGGCACTAGGCTTGTGGCTGCTGAACTATCGAAAAAAACGATAGTCATTGCGCTTTCAATTTGAATGGCAGATTGCTATTCTCGCATCACTTTACTATCCAGTATGCTTAGGTACAACTTGTGGTCGTCTCCTTCAATCGGGATATAGTGTAAGAGAAATATTTTTCGCTTCCGAGTGAGAGCAAAGAAAATACTTTTTCTTATATGATATTGCAAAAGCTAGTCTTATTGCTGCTTTCAAGCTTCAGGCGCTAAAAGAAGGTAAGTGTGTTGAATTTTCGCGAAGAACAAGATGTGAGCAGTTTCAATTGATAAGTATGACACAAAGACACTTACGTGATGTCTTGGACACAGTTTCGAATGAATCCGTTTAGGGTTGAGATGAGAAGTCGCAAAAAATAAATTAGCTGTCTCAGATAACGCAACATATGATAAAATCGATTATCGATCATATGCAATACACCCACCAACACGTTAGTCATACGTTATTGATAATCTGATATATCGACCGAGGTCATTCAGAAATCCCGCAAAACGAAGTCAGCAGTGAATGAGAATGGCTGCCGTATCTCGCAGGTTGTCGTGATTTTGCAAGATAAGAAGATTGAATAGCGCTAACGTCTGTGCTCAAACGTCAGCGCTATTCTAATTCTTTGATCAGTAGCAACTATCCACAAGGCCGCCGAGAGGTCGATAATCTACATTATTTCAGCCAATTGAAATTAAAATACATCGCCATTTCCAAGGACAGTTCTGCAAAGCATATCGTTTGCCATACCTCTATATAAGCTGTCATGCGTGTGTACGTTTTCGTTGCCGTCTTCGTACGTGGAGTCAGCTTTTGCTTTGCAGTCAGATTGGGAGAAACAAATTGTACCGGTTTAGACACGAATGATCGTGATCCACTTTGCACGCCAGCGCACAAGGCTTACACAATCCCCAATAGAGCGCTAAGAAATTATGTCGCACTTGTGGAGAATGAGGCTCATGTTGATGACAAAGAGAAGGAAGCAAGAATGCAAAATGTGGAACCGCTTGAAGCTTTAATGAAGACACATCTATCTGATGATACGATGAAAGAGATGCAAGAGATCTTGAACAACGCTCCTACCATTCATACGGCTAATTTGGATGAAAACAAAATTGTCAGCAGAAGCTATGATCCGCGTGGCATGCTCCAAATTATGTTTGCAAAGAAAAAAGAACCAAGTACCTACAAGATCATAGAGAAATGGCTTAAGCAAGTTGTACACCACCCGAACTTCAATCATGAACATGATACGATTTATGAAGAATTGCTTCTTGGCTTGGAAAAAGTCATGCAATCACCGAATGCAGAAGCACTGATGTCCGAAGTGATAACTGTGTTAGAAACTTTTCGAGTCCAGCCAGAATTCAATCCCTTCGCAGAGAATTTCGAGCGACTCATTATCTCGAAACCAGAGTACAAATATTTGGTCTTTGAAAAGTGGACAATGAACAACAACAGTATAGAAAGTGCTTTCAGGATTCTTGCTGGCGTCGGGGGAGATACCAAAAATATATCGGGATTGGCTTGACTATGTTCAGTTCGTCTGGAAAACTAATGAGAGCCATGAAGATCCAAACTACAACCAATTTATCATGACACTACTCGACAACGTACAAACCCGTAAATTCGTAAAGATCATTGGAAGTTCAGAGTTTTTCAAGTGTTTTTCGGAGAAAGATAGCTATGGGACAGCTCATTATGTAAACATACGGAGGAAGTGGTTTTTGGCCAGATGTCTGGTCAAAAAACAATCCCCGCAATCGGCGTTAAGTGAGGTAAATGATTTTCAACAAGCTGGTTCAGACGAAGATGAGCTGTTATCGTCACTCTCTTACATCATTCGGTATAAGAAAAAGCATGATTATGCCGACACCGAGCTGCTCAAAGTGTTGACTTCCAAACGTTCATTACTAGAGCTGGTAACCCAGTTGAAATCAATGAAAACATCTCGAAGTCTTTTTTGAAAAAGGTAGGTGAGATGCTAGACTCAATGATGACCTTTCCAGACGTGTTGACGGATTTGGCGAATACAAAAGTCACACCTGAGCAATACAAACAATTCCTTATCGATTTAAAAGCTATGTATTCAGAACCGACAAAGGTAACGACGTTCCAATCCCTCATGTCTTCTGAGCCGACAATCGATGAAGTTTTGCAGTCGAGGGTCAACAATTATACTGTGATATATAATCAATGGAATACACCGGCATCGAGAGCCGTCAAAGCGCCTAAGCGGAAACGAGAACGAAATAAATAAGTGATCAACGGTAAAATGTGAGCATATGGATTTTATTGAAATAATTTAACGTGACATACTGTTTTCACAGATTGTACTACGTGCTGTATAAAGTAAGAGAAGCATCAAGGGTAGTGGTTGGCAATTTGTGTATCGGCAACGTGACGTGTCTTTTCAATGATAAATATCAAGTGATTTTTTCCATTGCCATATAGCCGCTTCAAAAGGTAAGAATAAACAGCTTGCTTGTTCAGTCGTGAATGACCCCGCTAGAAATCGAAGACGTTCCCTTCAATTATATAACCTCAGCGTCAGAGCCATTTGCATGTATCCAGCCAACTTTTAAACAGTTTGCTAGTCTAGCTTAAGAGAAAATGCACTTGCTTTTTTCAGTAATTTGTACGTCCAAAGAGGTGATGAATACGCAAGCGTTGTGGGCTCAGTAAACTTCATCTATACATCGATTTCATCGAGTGTCGATTAACTGCTAAGATCTAAGAAAATATGTGATTCGACAAACCTTGTAAAAAGACTACAGGAGATCAATTGCGTTAATTCCAGCGCACAATCACCGCCTGCTGCACCCCAAACTGTTCTTGGCGCTGTTGTGGCTCAAAATTGGCGAGATATGCATCCAATAATGGGAAGATGCCCAGTGGCATGGTCCGTTGCTGGGACACGCAGTCCTCCGACCTGGATATGGCTTCTACTCGGATGATGCAAGCATTCTCCGGATGAGGAATGTTAAAAATATGCTTTCATCTGTGGATTGTTCTACCAGTACGAGTTTCTAAGGTGCTTCAACCAGTGGAATCGGCCGAGATCTCATTGCAAAACGTCAGGTTACTGTGACAAGAGGATGTTACTCGACCACCTGCGCGTCGGTCGATTCGAAGACAGTGCGACCCACTCTATGCTCAGTGATCTCAACACAACTCTGGATCCAATATTTACTCACCCCAGTCCTCACCCCACGCTCGTCCTGAATGCGATGCATGTTGCGGCTGGCTCGCTCAGCTTGGAGTGGTGTATCCCTGGCGCACCAATCATTTAGACGAACTATCGTATACTGGTCCCCAGCCACGCGAAATCCTACTCGATGGCATCCAAATGTCCAACGACTTCAGCACGCAGTGAAACGGCGATACAAATTACTTCGAACCTCAGGGTACAGGCACCTACTTAGCCCACCAAGTCACACTGTTCAGTTTCCCAGTTGCGGGATCACGGCTATTGGAGGTTATCAATAAACATGCTCGAATACCCGTAGGTGGTGAATACCTGTAGGTGTTGAATACCCGTAGGTGGTCAAAGCCATCCGAAGCAGGTGTTACAAGAACTCCAGGTCACCAGCAACCCAGGACAAGGCTAGAAGTGATAATAGAAGTTGGTCTGTCCACAGCCTTAACCTTTCCAACGCAAGCTTTGATCCTAGAAGGAAGATGCGGGCAAAAAAAGCCACAGGAAACTCGACGAAGTAGCAAATCGATCTCGCAAAATCTGTCATGCGGAATTTCAGGCTGACTTCGATACTGCTATGGGAGCATACACATAATGTATGAACCGAATTAGCTAGATGCTGCCTTTCACATACAGACACAGCATGCCAAGCGTCCTCTGAATACTTCTATTTTCCGCTCGGCATATTGCTCCGGCGTGTCAGCATTTATAAAGACCAAACATCAGATACCGCGTTCTGTCGGCAGGCTGCCGAGCTCACAGTGAACTCGCATTGAAGAACATGCCAGCCTAGTCAGACCTATATCGCCAAAAGACCGCAACGGCAATTCGAGTCTTCAATGCAAAAAGGTGATGACATTGATATTGGTCTCACGCGCACTCAGCGGGATAATGATAATGATTTCTAAGCTCTTGTATAATACCCGCAAGTAACAGACTTTGTTATCGCTCGCCAAACTCCAGAAAAGGCAGTTGATGCTCTGCATTGTCGGTTCAGCGTAGCGCAAACGAGAGCGTGCACGGCGTATTGCAGGTGATTTTTAATGTCTGAAGAGTTGATTGACCGGCTGTAACGGGGTCACATGAGAGTGAC